CGAGTGTGAGATCGATCGTTGGATTATTGTGAGATCGATCGGGAGATCCATTGTAGCATCGATACTGGGATATGTCGTGAGATCGCAAGCTTGATACATGTGAGATCGATTGAATAAGACGTTGGTGCCACCTCCCCCCCCAACGTCCATATCACCCGCAGGCTTGTCGTATAGGAGTACCTTCATCTCGGGCGGTGCGAGAAGAAATGTGCTGGGTTCAAGCGGGCAAATCAAGAACGGATTTCTCCCAAACCAGGGGCTGTGGAGCCGGTTGTCCGCCCCTTCCCTCCCCCGGGCCGCGGTGGCCGTGGTGTCCAGTCGTTGGCGCGTCGGTGTCCCGTCGGTTTCTCGTCGGTGTCGCGTGGTATCCAGTCGGTATCATCGATGTGTGATCTGTAGTGAGATCGATAACGACATCTTTTGTGAGATAGCTCGTGGGATCTGTTGCGAGGTCGATACTATGATCTGTTGTGAGATCGATCGTGAGATCGCTCTTGGGATCTATAGAGCGACGAAAGTGATGTCGATACTGAGATCGATTGTGTCATCGATGGTGAGACCGATAATGAGCCCGATGGTCAGGTCGATTGTAAGATCGATCGTGACACCGATCGTGAGATATTGTTTGAGATCTACAGTGGATCCAGAACTGGAGAAGAATATGGAGTACGATCGATCATGAGATCGCATGTGAGATCGATCGCGAATTCGATTGTCAAATCAATAGTGAGAGATCGATTGTGAGATATGTCGTGAATTTGACAGTTGGATAGCTAATCAGATCGAAATAATGTTATCGCAAGTTAGGTATGTTGTGAGATCGATCGTGAGATCTGTTGCGGGATCGATAGAGAAAACTGCTGTGAGATCGAGTGTGACATTGCCCGTGAGATCGTTAGTGGGATCGACAGTGGGATCGACACTGAGACCGAAGATCCATTGTGGGTTCGATTGTCAGATGGTGCGGTCGATGAGGAGATCGCCAGTGAGATATGTTGTGAGATCGTTCGTAAGATCGCCTGTGAGACCGATGATGAGTTCGATTGTCGAATTGTGAGGTCGATATTGGGATCTGCTGTGGTATCGATCGAAGAGAAGGTTGAGAGCTCTGTTGTGAGATTGGGAGCTTCATTGATGTGAGATCCATTGAATGAGACGTCGGTGTCCCCCCCTTTCACCTCCACATCACCCGAAAGGTGGCCGTATTTCTACATATCACAGAACTTTGAATGCGCCAGCTGGCATGCTGAACCGTCGATACCCTCCGAAACGTACGAATCATATACTTGAGAACGTGCTTTGGGGGCACACTTCACTCCGCGTGTCCATAAAGAATCGCGACTTTCAGTCGTCGAAAGCTCGCATATAGCAGTGGTGCAGCGAAGATAGCACGCCGTGCTGCTGTATGTGAAAATGGCCCTCAAGAAGTGGAAGAACCCATTGTCCCTGAACGCCGTCGATGTTTCGAGGTATGGTAGTGTTGGCATCGATCCCTGCATTACTGGTAGATCACGTTTACTTTCAGAGCATGCCTTTACATAACATTCGCGCGCCTCCACCTGAATATGATCCAGAAAAGCATCATGAGCATCGTCATAGAGAGGGCAATGGATAACACACATAAACAGATACACAAGTGGTCGAATAATAGCCCAGACCAACACCTCCCGAAACGGACGCGCGCAATCCTCCCCGGCGTTGCCCCTATCGAGGTCCGACTACGTAAAATATGAAACTTCTCCTGTAACCGCTGATAACCTCCCCAGCTGGCCATCTACAAACTTCCTGGGAACAAGCAAGCGTATGGCCTCGGCCCAATCCTTGCAGATTGCACCCAATCGTTCGCTGCGTCGGCGTGCGACCGCATGCGACGGCGCGCGCCCGTCATTTACAGTAGGGAGCGTGTTCGTGGCTCGGATATCGCTGCCCTTGACAGCGGATTGAATAGCGTCGGACGGTCAGGTCTGGGAGGCACGGCGCACGTCCACGCACGTGCCGCCGCCGTGTCCAAGCAGATGCCTGTGCCCCCGAAGCAGCGTGCTTGCAGAAGCGACCTCTGCTTTGTGCGAACCACGAAAGAGGAGGTGCCTGCGACGGGCAGGAGGGAGGGAGAGGGAAAATCACAAGGTACCAATACCGCTACTCCCTGGACCTCTCCCTGGGTGCGTTCTGACTAAAATTCTGAAGCGAATCCAGCGGTGACGAGGAGGGACTCCCAGGAGGCCGAGAGAGGGGAAAACGAGGGAAGGGTAGCGGTATGGGTACCTTTTCCTCCTCTGAGGGAGGGCCCAGGGCAAGGGGCGAATGCGGAATGGCCCGCCGCTCGCTTGGCCGGATCCCTCACGGCCAGGCGTGGTGCGCTCTCTGGGGCGCGGCTGCTCTGCCAGACGGCTCGGCTGCGTGTCCAGAGCCGCGCGCGACCCCGAGACTACGGAATCGATGCTCTCCTCGAGGTAGTCGTCCAACAGACACCGGGTGCGCTCACGTGTGACCCTGTGGAGCTTCGACTAACAGAAGGGCTTCTCGCCTTCGCGCAGTCCCCAAAAATGTCTAGGTGGGAGACTCTTCAGACTCAACGCGTATCATAAGGACGCGCCGCAAGGATGCAAGGGCCTTGGAGGCCCATGTGAACGTTTCTCGATCGAGGTTGGCCAGCGAAAGTATGGGCCGAAGGGGCAAGGATGTAAGTGCACTCTGGGGAGGGTTGCCCATCCTTACAATGCGGGTTGACTATAATCCTGCGCCATCGCGCCCGGCTGCCCGATTTCGGGGGCATCTGTGTCCCACTCGCAGCGTATACGAGCTCACTGCGTCTCTGGACCACGACGGCACAGTTCGATCGGCTGCAGGACATCGTGGGATCGGCGACAGACCTGCCCCACTGACCCGCGGAAGGGCGCCGTGCCGAAGGGGGGTGGCTCTTTGCAAGCAGAGAGCAGCAAAGCTCCGCATGCTGTTCGAGAGGCCGCCTGGGGAGGCACCCGCTCACGGGCGGAGAGCAGAGGGGTCCCAGAGACGTCGCGCTCCTAATCATCCTTTCCTCTGCACCATCCTCCTTCTCATCTTCTTCTCCCCCCCCATCTTCTCTGAGCGATGCGCCCCACGTGTCGGATCGCGTTCTTCTTCCTCCTCTTCCCCCCACCCCATCGGTTGCCATTTTGGCTCCAGCCCCTTCTTGACCGAATCGGCTACATTGCTTTCCTGGGGGTCAAAACGCCCACTTCCCAGTGAAATCTCCCAAACGTCTGGGCGAGTCCCACGAGCCAGCCTCCGGGCAGCAGCGGTGCGCGTGGGCCAGATGGCGAGCCAGAGGTATTTCTTTAGGGTTATGCTGTGCTTTGTCTTTGAGCCTTCCCAGCCCGTAGCCCCTGCTTCCAGAGGTTCCAAGAAATAACAGTGAAGGACCTCCGCTCTGTTTCACTATGTGTCGCTTCGACCCTTTTCCAATCAGATCTCATGGGCAGGGTTTCTGAATGGGCTGGTGGGGATACGGAAGAGTGAAGAATTGATCAGAAACACATGACAATGCCAAAACCAGCCCATTTCGACAGAAACGGCTAGATTTTCTCATCAAGAAACTCTGCTATATGGAAACGGGCCGAACGACATCACACCGTCACCTCTCACGTGCATCGGCGGAGACGGGACAAGCAAGGACGTTCACAGCCTGTGCGAGCTATACGAAGAGGGCGAGGCCACCGTAGACATCGAATACTTGGCCCAATGGCGTCAGATCGAAGACCGCCGGGAAAACCGAGAACGACGCGCGAGGTGCTGCCGTGAACGAGTGCGCCAACGGAGAACGACGCCGAGGACGACGACGAGGACGACGAGGAGACGACGACGAGGACGACGACGAGGACGAGGACGACGACGAGCACGACGAGGACGAGGACGAGGACGACGACGACGGGTGCACGAGGCGTGGCGGGGCGCCTCCGTGTCCTCCGGGGTGGCGTTCCGGTAGTTGCAGGGCGCGAAGTACACCAGCGAGTAGCGGTCGCCGCCCCGCCAGGGCAGCACCTCGAGGGGAGGGCCGGCGGGCAGAGGGGGGGGGGAAAGAGGACGAGCGGCAGGCCAGAGGAGCAGGGGGAGTGAGGGCGGGAGAGGAGGAGGAGGAGCATGGAGGAGGAGGAGGAGGAGGAGGAGGAGGAGGAGGAGGAGGAGGAGGAGGCGGAGGAGGAGGAGGAGGAGCAGCGAGCACATGAAGCGACGCGCCGAGTCGAGACGAAGGACAGGCAGGATGAATGGGAAAAGGTGAGAAGCACAATCGCACACAGAACGACGAGGGCACACCCTGCAATAGCCCAGCAAAGCATCACGGCCACAGGGCACACGCTCACTCACCAACCAGAGGCCTGGCCAGGAGCAACACAGGAACTGGAAAGCAGAACCTGGAGCAAACGCATGCAAGCACCGACGATCAACTCACCAGACAATGCCCTACACGCGGGAAAATACAAAACGAGTTATAACGGAATTTAATGCGTTAAATTCTGATGCAATCCCAGCCACTGTACAGCAGGGTCTGAAACCTGGAGCCTACGGGGCATGGGGATGTGGTGCTTTCGGCCGTCACTGGGATGACGGCCCGAAGCGAAGTTATCTCGGCGCCACCTCCGCTGGGGGTTGGACACGAGAGCCTGCGGGTCGCAGGTGCCATACAGGTCGGAACGGGCGGCCTTCGCTGAGAAGGAGCCACACCTCGTGCATCCTACGATCTCCCCAGCCCTGTACAGGATGTGACCTCGGGCCGCCTCGGGCGGCACGAACGCATCCCCATCCGACGGGAGCACCGTGCTGGGAGGGGCCGCCGTGGCCCTACTAGGGGCCGCCAGACGGGGGCGCTTCTTCGAGCCGTCGAGGGCAGTCGCCGCCTCGCGGACCACCCCTTGGGGACGCGACTCGAACCGAACCCTGGGCTTGACCTGCCTCACGAAAGGCTCCGCCAGCTCCCTGATTGGCCTGGCCTGGCTCCTGGACTCCTGGACCACCCCATAGGGAGGAGGAGGAGGCGGAGGAGGAGGAGGGTCCTCAAGGCCCAGAGGAGGAGCAGGAGGAGGAGGCGAGGTCTCCTCGGGATCCCCTGAGGCCGGCTTGGCCTCCAGCCGCGGGCACGCCACCTTGCCCTCCGAGGCCTCCGAGGGGTCCCTGGGGCGCTTGGTCCTAAGGGGCTCAGGCTCTCTGGGGGCTGACGGGGGAGGAGGAGGAGGAGGAGGAGGAGGAGGAGGAGGAGGAGGAGGAGGAGGAGGAGGAGGAGTAGGAGGAGGAGGAGGAGGAGGGGGAGGAGGAGGAGGAGGGGGGAAGGAGCGGGAGGTTCGGAAGGGAGGGCAGGGCGAACTTGCAGACAGGAGGGCGCGGCATGGATGAGGGGATCTGGGGAGAGGCCGAGAGCAATCTTCGCAGCCATCGTAAACCCAAAAATCATCACATCAAAGATGTCGGAATACATCCTCCGTCCAAGCTCTCTTTTTTGTTCATAGGCTCTTACAAAGACTCATGTCTTTCAATTCGGAGGAGCGCCCCGTTGGGGGACAACCGTGTGAAAATCCTGAGGCGCGCCAACACACCGTTCTCAAGACTTCACCGCCATGAATCAACCTAATTGTTGCGTATTGGCGATCCTCAATCGTACCAAAAAATCGTCCCTGGAACTCCAACACCGCGAATCAACATGCTGTTGCACCTCGACAAGCCTGACTCGTTCCAACACGCCATATCTGGTGAGGTATCCGTCAGAAACCGTGCACGGCGCTAGGGCGAATACCACATTTTGATATAAACTCAACTTTCAATCCGTGAAGCGCTTGACGTTTTTGATAATGCATTTGCGAGGCGCTAAAGCGAGAACCACATTATGAAAACGAACCGCCCTCAATCCGTAAAACTCTTGCATATTATTTGCGCGAATGCGCGCGGCGCTAAGGCGAGAGCCAAGTTTGAGAACCACCTGCCTCCGAACTCTGAAACTCTTGCAATTTCTAAACACGGCAGTGCGCAGCGATACAGCGAGAGCCACATTTTGAAGGCGGCCCGCCCTCAATCGGTGAAACTCTTGTGCTTCTTTCTGAACGAGTGCGCGCGGGGCTAAGGCGATATCCACCGTTTGAAAACGCCCCGCTCTCCATATGCAGAGGTACTGCCAGCTTCTACGCTTCAGGCTCGTGAGTGGCCCGGCACTCTCAGGCGAAACGCCCGGCCGCCCTTCCGACTGGCCCCGGGGTGCGACAAGGAGGAGCTATTCCTTAGGAAGAGGAATCGAATTGAGGATGAGGAAGAAGAGGAGGAGGCGGCGGTGGGGAAGGGGGATGAGTCGGGGGAGGTGGAGGACGAGGACGACGACGAGGGCTGCGACGAACGCCCTCGGCCTCTCCCCGCATCCCCATCGTCCATCCAGCCCCCTCCTGTCTGCAAGATCGTCCTGCCAACACTTCCTAGTCACCCGTTCCCTCCCCCTTCCTCCCCCCCCCTTCCTCCTCCACCTCCTCCTCCTCCTCCTCCTCCTCCCAAGCGAATGCAGAAACAACCGCCACCGAGAACCCGTCTGGGGGGACGACCTCTGGGGCCGGGTACCCCCTTATGGGTTCTCGATGCCGGAGGCCCATAGTTATCCTCCGCCTCCTCCTCCATCTCCTCGTCCATTTCCTCGTTTCCTCCTCTCCTCCTCCTCCTCCTCCTCCTCCTCCTCCTCCTCCTTTTCTATTATTTGTAATAGTTGTTTTCTTCTTTGTATGATTCCTTCTGCTCCTCCTCCTCCTCCTCCTCCTCCTCCTCCTCCTCCTCATCATCATCATCATCATCATCATCCTCTTCATCCTGCCCCTCCTTTTCCTCCTCTCCTCTCCTCCTCGTCCTCCCCCTCCCCTCCTCCTCTCCTCCTCCTCCTCTCCTCCTCCTCCTGCTCCTCTCCTCCTTCTCCACCTCCTCCTCGTCCTCGTCCTCTTCCTCTCCTCTCCCCCCATGGTCCCTCTTCGTCCCTGCTCCTCCTCCTCCTCTCCTCCTCTCATTATCCTCCTCCGCGCCCGCATGTTCCTCCTCCTCCCTCCTCCTCCTCCTCTCGTCCTCCCCCTTCCCCCCCCCCCACACACACACCCCTCCCGTTCCTTCTGTCCCTCCCCCCCATCCTCCGTTACTCCTCGCCCTTCTCTACCTCCCTCCTCGTTCCTCTCCTCGTCGTCGCCCCTTGAAGAAAAAAAAAAAAAAAAAAACATCCGTGGCCACTATGGTTCAGAATGCTTTGTTCTTCGACGGAGCACGTGGATGCCTCTATTCCGTCACTTCATCCTACCAGTTTAAATTGTGCCAGTGGCAAGCCATGCGCTGCCCCACCAGACGCGTGGCGTCCCCTCTGAGTGCAGAAGCGGCGGTCCGCTGGCTGGCACTGCAAGTGGCGATCGCAACCCAAGGCGGGGAGGCCGTGGTGGAGCCCCGCCAACCTCAATAAGTATACGCGCTGCCGGCTGCGGGGGAAGTAGCTAAACGCATAAAGTAGGTTGGCGGCCAAAATAGATTGGTTTTCGGCCGTCCCAGAGAACAAGAACACGGCAAAGCAACACCATATCGAATTTCTGAGATAGGAAGGGGTTTGAAGTATAATGGGGTCTAGGAATGCTAGGTCGACCGTCAACGACCGACGGGTGCGCGCTGTTGGCTGCGGAAGGGCGATTGCTTCCATTCGACCGCGCAGCCTCTTGGCGTCGCTCGGGCGTCCGGCGATTGCTTCCATTCGACCGCGCAACCTCTTGGCGTCGCTCGGACGTCCATTTCCCGTGCATTGTCTGGTTTCGTGTGTGTTTTTTGTTGCTCGATGGTCCAGAATGGTCCTCGATGGTCCTTGCCGGAATAAATCGCACGTCCGAGCGATGCCAAGGCCCCTCTCCCAGTCCAAGCGCACGCCGACCTGGGCGAAGCAGGCGAGGGATCTCGAGGGCATGGCCGGACGGTTCGAAGCAGATAGCAATCAGCGGCGAGCCAGTCCGTCTGCAGCAAGCGAAGGGCCGCCAAGATTGAAGGGGCCCCAGGACATACAAATACATACACACAGGTAAAAAAAAAGATCCCCAATAGTTTCCCATATGTTCTGGGTGTTTGTCTTTCCCCCCACTTCCCATATTTTCCGATATGCTCCTGGGCATCGACGATTCATTGTGCCTGTGTGTGTTTTCCTCTCCTGAGAGAAGCTCTACGAGAAGGTGGTCGAGCGCAACATGCCCAGGGAGGTGGAGGAGCAGATCGGGCCGCTCGCGACCCGGAGCGCCGACCCAGGAGCTCTCGCCAGTCATCTCAGAGCGCCCGCGCGAGGAGGAGGACCTCCACAGGCGGCTCCAGGAGGCGCCTCCGCTCCACGCGCAGGTGCCCGCGGCTTCGGCGCGCGTCAGGGCCGCCGAGGAACGCGCGGCCGCCGCGATGGGGCTCATCGGAACCAACCAACCAACCGACCAAGAAGGCCCAGTTGACCGAGCTGCCGATCAGCCGGGGGGAGACGAATCAGGACCCCGAGAAGCTCGAGGGCGATGCCGCCGAGATCGGAGCTCGCGTGGACGAGCTCCCACGCTCTGATGTGGTCTCGCAGATCAGGGGGGCGTAAGACCCGGGCACGGGGGACTCGGAAATCCCCGACGAGGTCGTCAAAAAAACGACGAGGCCGAGCCTGCATTTTGACGAGGCCTCCCGCTGCAGACATCCCACAAAACTCCTCCTCGTCAAAATCCGAGTCGCGGTCGTCAAAAAACGATGGCGAACCCGAGTCCTGGCAAACCCGGGTCTTACGCTTCCCCGAGCAGAAGGAGTTCGCCCTGGCTGCCCGGGCGCACCAGCCCAAGCCCGACGCGAAGGAGCTTGGGGAGCTGCCCCAACGACGCGAGTCGGCGAGCCGCCGAACACGGTGGTGCCGGCGCTGGCGGAGGTCACCCCGAGGCTCGTCTCGGCGCCGACGCAGGGCCAGGGGGCGCAGGGGCCGGCAGGGGCAGCGTGCCACGCCGCCAGCGGGGGCAGCAGTCCACGGCCAAATCCCAAAAATGTCGGGAGCGCCGATGCGATCCTCGAGCCCGCCTCCGAGCAGGAGCTCCAAGACAGGCTGCTGGCTTGCTATCCAGGCGGCAGGGCGCCCGAGATGCGCGAAGATGCGGTGGATCTGTGCGCTGCTGCTGCGCAACTGACGACAGGACCGAGGCTCTCCGACGCGTTGGCCGCCATGAACCACCAACGGAGTCAATGTTGACCAGAAGTCTGTCGAGCCCCTGTGCGTGTGATCTCTGCTAGCTGCATGGCAACGAGTCGTCAGCGACGCGGAGTGGGCCCGGTTCTGCCCCAACGACTGACGAGCGCGACGCTGCTCACGCGTTGCGCTCGATTATGAGTGGGATGCGTTCGTCCTGGGCGCGGACCTCCACAGGTGGATCTCTTATGAGATGTGTGGGGCACTCTCGCCAGGGCCGTCGACGGGCACCACGGTGCATTCCTCTGGGTTGGGTACATGCGCGGCGCAGAACGGCAGCTCGAGCTCCGATTCGGCCTGGCGCCCTCCCCGACTGGCCGGAGATGGGCCCGCCCTTGGGCCGGGGGCATGCGCAACGCAAATCGGTGGCTCGGGGTTGGGATCGGCGTCTACGGGCTCGGCGTCGACGTCTGTTGCGCCCGGCCCCGACGCGCCCCGCCGCCGCAGCCCCCTTCGCAGCAGGCCACGACCAGGACTAGGGCCCGTTGACGGCACTTCGCAGTCGTCGGGGGGAGGCGGCCTCGGCGTTGCCCTCTGGGGCTGGTCTGGCGCGAGAGCCGCGCGGCACTCGCGCCCTGCGGCCCCGCGCCTGACCGCCCACCCCCAGAGCGCGGCGCGAATTGCAGCGAGGCGACATCGCCCGAGGAGGTGCACCGAGGACCGCAGCTGCCGCAGGCCAGCGGGGTCGAGTTGGTCGCAGCAGGCAGCGGGCCATCCGACTGCGACAGAGTGAGAAGGCAGCAGAAGGTGCAGGGCGCAAACGGCCAAGACAAGTACGTAGCCTGGGCCAGCGCGGAAGGCGCGGGCCGCTCAAGGCCTTCCTCGAGGATTGCTCGGCCAGGACCGTCGCGGCGCACCTGTGCAAGACGTTGGCGACCAGCCTCCCCTGTCTGCAGGAGCACGCGAAAGACCAGCTTCCACGGGATCTACGCGCCAGCGGTTGACGCGGAGGCTATGATCAATGTTGTAAAATTGGTGGGGTTGCGGCATTGGTGCAGTCCCACACTGCTCTCGAAGTACTTCCCTGCACGGACAATGGTGTCCTGGCAGATGGGCGCATCGCCATTGCTGGCATCGCTTGAGGCGCCCCTGGCAGCATCGCTGTGATCGTTGTCTCCTTCATCACAGGAGGGGGGCACGTCGCGCCAACCAAATGCCCGGGTACCCATGCTCAGCGGTGCTGGGCGAGATTGGTTGATTCTTGGCGATTGGAACCCCGCGCCCGACTTGATTCGACATGGGCGGTTTTCAAGTGCCAGAGGTTTTCTCGTTTTACCGGCAAGGCCGACCTGCATGCAGAAGCCCCCTGGCAGCGTGCTCGGCCGCGCGCATGCGTGCAAGCACTTGGCCACCCGCGTCCTTCGAAGGCGCGCGGCGATGCATCATGCGGTGGAGATGCGTCGCCCAGTGAGAATGCTTCATTTGAACAAGGAGCTGCATTCCAGGAGAAGGACCAGGGCGGCGATCGAAACTCGGGCCTTCCCCTTGGTTCTGCCAGTGGGCTTCGCGCGGTCCCCAACCGACTGGGACTGGCTAGCGCGCCAACCTTCTGTGCCCAGACGGAGGGGGGGGCGGGGGGGGGGGGGGCAGGGGCGCCATGCTGAGCTGTATCGAGCAGGAACGACAGAAAAAGGGCCACGACATCGCGGAGACCTGGGCGGAGAGGTACTCAAACAGCGGAGGATCAATCGACGCGCAGTTGCCCAAGGCACAGTGGAGGCCGTCTCGCGCGAGGCGGCAGCGCGGGGTCCTCTGCGAGAGTTGGTTGCGGCAGGCCGCAAGGCCAGTCGCCCTCTGGGCGCTCGCGCTCACCAGCGGCGACGCGCGGGCACGAATCAGGTTCCGACATGCTCGCGGACCCAGGCCTGCGCACCATGGCGCAACAGACATTGCCTCCGCGTAACAGGCTCCAGGCGGAGCACGATCGGAAAGACCTGGACAGATGGCGCAGTTGGGTCGACCAGTATTCGCCAAGAGAGCTAGCGGGGCACGCAAGTTCACTCGTCTTCAGGCTGCGTGGGAGATTCTGGAGGCCAGTGAAGAGCTGCCAGCCTGCGAACTGGCCGACAAAGGGATGGGGCCCTGGAAAGAGAAGTGACACCCTCACGATGCATGCGCTCTCCCTATGCCCGCCGTTCATGCTAATTGGCCCGGCTCGCCCGCATCGCGGTGGGCATGGCCCTGGGCGCGATCGCGCCTTTCGCTTGGAAGACTGCGGCAAGTCCCAGCCGCGTCAAGCCGCGATCCTTACTGTTCTAGTCGAGACAGGGGCTGGGGGCCATGGCGAGCTTCTTCGCGAAATGCAAGGAGCTGCTGCTCTGGGCGAGAAGTCGGTTTCTTCTGCCGAGATGGATCGGATTTCGAACAGAACGGGAGCGCTTGGCGGGTGGCGCCCATCAGCGCGAGCATTCGAGCGCGGGCAAGCAGTGGATTGCAGCGTACCCCGGGGCGCAATCTGGACCAAACGATCTGGGCTCTCCTCCTCTGCCTCAGCATTTGCTCTGACGCGGCTGCAGGAGTTGAGCGAGCGCAAGATGTCGCCCATGCCAGACGCGCGGCAACGCTTCGACGCGATGTTTCTGCAGCAGTTGTCCGAAGATGCTCGAGCGGTCAGCTGTCCGCGTCGATTGCCGCGGCAGTGGGGGCCCTACTGGTGCGCGCGGATAGTGGTGAGGGGCTACGGCAGCATTGGCGCGATGGTGAACGCGTGGCATGGGGCCCTGCAAGGTCGCGCGCGCGCGACCTAGCTCCTGACGGCGATGGTGTCCAGGACGCTCGCTCAAGCGAGGGCGCTCGCGCGCGCGTCGCGGCGCGCGCCCTGGCAGACGACGCAGCGCTGCAGCGCGCTCGCGCCGAGTTGGCTCGCGCCATGGAAATCGCCGTACGGGGGCCCCCGTGCGGGAAGCTCGGGGCCGCAGGCTCATCGCGCAGCCCGCGAAGTCGGGATTCGTCTGCGCCAAGGAGGCCGCCCGCGCGACCATCGGTCCCTGGGCCAAGGTCCTGCGCATCAGAGCCAAGAAGGCGATCCGCAACTTGGCGAGCGACCTCTATTCGGGGCGCGCGGCGCGCCCGGCGGCCAAGGCGCAGCGCGACGAGTCAAAGGGGCGCGCGCCGAGAATGAAGATGCTGCGCAGAGGGCGGCTGACGCGAAGGTCCAGGCGCTGTGGCGATCAAGGCTGGCGCCGTCTGCTGCGCGCGGCTCGGCCGTCGCAGGCACCCCGCGGCGACCTCCCAAAGTTGGGGCAGATGGCGGCGGCGGCGGCGCGCGGGGCCCGGCCAGGCGGAGCGAGCATCAGAGCGCACCTGGCCTCGCAGCGCGACAGGTGCATCGACCCCATCTTTCAGGCCACGCTGGGGGTCAATAGCACGTGCGCGTTCTTCCCGTGGGGCAAGTTGCCCGAGATAGGCAGGCTGAGGCGCGCTTGGCGAGCGCTGGCAGAGACGTGGGCGCCGCGGGAGCATTGGTGGAGTGGCGCGCGCGAGCCGCTTGAGGACTGCTGGCTGAGCCTACGCGGGATTGGATGAGGCATGGCGAGCAGCACGGCCTTCGCCAACGACATGGGCCAGAATGTGTCGCTGATGACGACGGCTCCCAGCGAGACAGAACGGCTTCTTGAGGGTGCGGGACGGAGACAGGGCATTTGCAAAAGCAACTCTGAACACCTCGACGGCAACAAGGTAATCTGAACCCGTGCCACTCCGGTCGTGGTGGCCGGCGGTGCGGTCAATCAGCCACACTTTGGTCAGGAGGCTGCGTGACGGTGGCCAAGACGTCTGGGGAAACTGCTGAATTTGCCAATCCGTCCTCACCCCGAATGCCACGGCAAACAAGCGAACGGCACGCTGGGGCTCATTGTATGCATGTCAGAATCTTGCTGGAGGGTGGAGCCGCGAAGGGGCTGCCGGAGTGGAGCGAATAGATGAGCCAGATCAACGACTTGGCAACCTCAGCGACCTCAGAGACCTCAGCGAGTGTACCGTGGACGTCTTCGGCTTCACCACGTACTTCAATGCCGAATACTAATGGGGAGATTCGAGGTCTTGCCCCATCTCGTAGCCCCACGAGCCTTTACGGATGCATCAGGATTGCACAAGGCCTGGACCGAGTTCCGAAGATCTGGGTGGGCAGTGGTTCAGCTGGGGAGGTGAAGGATTCCTGTCAGAGCCTACTACGGGCCGCATCCAGGCCCCATCCTGATGGCCAGCATGGCCAAACGGATTGCGTCGCTCAGAGCCCAACAACACACTCCTGGGCTCCATGTTCTGGTCTGGGATTTCCTGGGGGCCGCTCGGGAGGGCCAAGGCTGGGCCCCAGCCTTGAAGCCCCAGGAGGACCCTACTGCTCGGTCTCGTTCGAAGCCCCCGTCTTTTGAATGGGTTCCTGCTAATTTTACCATGTGTGATTTTCTGGAGGCTCGCACTGTTTCGCCTCCGCGCCAGCAAATCAGAAATTGTTTGGTCGAGTTCTTCGCGCGACTGGGGGAACCTGATCGTAAATGGGTTGACGATGTAGTCGAGGATGCCGCCGAGAAATCAAACAATACAACAACTTTGCGAAATTATTCGTGCGGGTTGGTGTTCAGATTACAGCGTCCAGAGAGAATATCAACACATCTCCCGTGGGTCACTCCTGCCCAACAAGCCTTTCGGGTTCCAGGAGCATGAACTTTGGAGTTTGCAACCTGGTAACTTGGTTTGTAGAAGGTGCCTGGCCCACTCTCGGACTCCCGCGACCAGAAAAAACACCTCACCAATGGGGCAAGCAAATTCACGTTCTGTAATCCAACGCCGCTTCAGGATTGCCGTGAGGGGGGATGTCAAAAGGCCCGTTCTGTCGTTCGTCCTGATCCTATCAATACGGCGCTTGTGGGCGGATTCTGCCTCTGAAAGTCTGGCTGGTTCGGAGCCTGGGGACACTGGGACCCATGCGAAATGCCTCCGAGAAGGCGACAGCGACGGCGCAGGGCGAGGATGGCTTCGCAGCCCGTGGCCACGGAATGGGGCGCACAGGGACCAACATGTCCTGACGGAGCTGTGGGGCTTCTCGTCCGAAGGGGCTGGAGTCTCTCCTGCAGAAGCTTTGCAGGGGGCGCTCGGCGAAGGGACCGACGGAGGCTCTCGCCAATATTCTCGCGGGCGAGCACCCGAAACCTGGAGTTGTTCCAACTTGGAGTCTGTGAGGCGGGCCTCAAGGGTTGCGCCGTGGCTCTCAGGTCGTTGAAAGGCGCCGACGGGAGGCCAGCTGGCGCCTCTATGCCTTGTATCCTTGTATCCTCACCCCCAGAGATCTGACATATCTGAAAGGGCCCCAGGACACACAAACAAATACACACAAATAAAAATATTCCCCATATTTTCCCATATGTTCTGGGTTTTTGTCTTCCCCCCCACTTCCCATATTTTCCCCTATTTTCTGGAGGGTCGACGATGAATTGTGCCTCTGTGTGTTTCTTTTCCGCCTGAATATTGACGTGTTCGTTGCGCGGACCCCGAAGTCCCATCCCCTCCTCTGGTAGCGGCATCATCTCGTCCCGAATCGAAGTTTTTGACAGTCCTGGGGCCTGGCGAGGGGCCCCAGTCAGGCCGAACACGATGCAAAACCTTTGAGGCATGGGCTCTCCTCCTCATCCTCTTCTTGAGCAGGGACCGACCGTCCCGGCACTCCTACAGTCCTACCACGAAATGTTCTTAGAGCCCGAAAAACGTTCTGAGAACAACACCAAATTCATTGCAGCATGAACCCGACGTGTTGAAACAAGACAGGCTCCGCCAGAAATGCTCTGAGAACATTTCGTGGGAGCCCCAGAAGGTTCTTAGAACAATGTTTGGTAGGGCTATAGGCGAGCCCGGACGCTTCGCCACCGCTTTTAGGTCGGGCCTGTCCCCCTAAAGGGGGATTCTGGACGACAAATAAAGATTACACGAAACAGATTCAATAGATGCCCAAAAATACTCAAAAATAATCCCCAAACTATGTTTTAAACTGTTTTTGGTATTCCCTCTGTAGCAGGACAGGCCCCACTTAACACTGCTTGACTCCTGCTCCTGGACGTGCGCTTGCCTGGTGAGGTGACCGGCCGTCCATCGTGTGCCAGCGGCGCAGGTTCACCACGCCCTCGGGCAGCAGCGGAGAGGGGAGGGACGAGGGAGGCAGGGAGAGGAGGGAGGAAGCTAGTGAAGGGGCCCTGGGACACACAAATTAATACACACAAGTAACAGGATGTCCCATATTTTCCCATATTTTCTGGGTTTTTGTCTTCCCCCCCAACTCCCATATTTTCCAATATTTTCTGGAGGGTCGACGATGAACTGTGCCCCTGTGTGTTTTGAACCCTCCTGAGAGGCTCGGGAGGAGGGCGGAGGCAGCAGGTAGGGGGGGAGGAGGGGCGGGGGGAAGGGGAAGGGGAAGGAGGGTGCAGGAGGCAGGAGGAGGGCCGAGCCTGGGCAAGGGGAGGCACCTCGTAACTCGCTGCCCCGTCTGCCCGGGCGGAGGGACCACGGAGCCCCGGCGCCCTGCACGCCCTGCGCTCTCCCGGGAGGCCCCCCCGCCCCTCCTCTGGCCATCGCTCGGACGTCCATGCCCTGTGTTGTTTTCGGTTCCGTCGTTATCGCTCACACCATCCATGTCTCTCTTGTTCCCTTCCCTTCACCCCCCCTGTCTCGTTCAGCCTGTCTTGCCGGTTGCTCTGTCCATGGCCGTTGTGTGCTCAGACTACAGCCCAGTGAAGTAGTCAAAATAATCGTCACAGCGCCAGATGCTCCTCGATGGCCCGCGCCGAAGGAAAAAGAATGCGCACGTCCGAGCGGTGCCGAGTCCTGCCTGCGAGCTGCGAGCGCGGCGAGGACGACCCCGAGCGGGAGGGGCCGCCACCGAAGGTTCTCGGGTGAGGCGCGCGCCTCCCCCCTCGACGAGCCAGCTCAAACAGAAGTGAAGGGGCCCTGGGACACACAAATGAACGCACACAGATAAAAACGAGTCCCCACATTTTCCTATATTTCCGGGGCTTTCGTCTTCCCCACCACCTCCCATCTGTTCCCATCTTTCTGGGGGGTCGACGATTCAGTGTGTGTGTGTGTGTGTGTGTGTGATTTTTGTCTCCTCCTGAAGAAGAAAGAGCAAAGCCGCACACATCACCTTGCGGGGGCCCGAGGGACCCAGAGCCGACCCAACACGTGGGCGTGGACCGCCGAAGCCTGGGCACAGGAAACAGTGGGCCAGGAGGCCTCGTCCCAGAAGGAAGCCCTGAGCAGTCTGACTTCGACCTGGAGGACTGTTCGCTCTCAGATTAGAGGCAGCCAATCTCGAATCGGGAAGTGGTTTTTTTTGTTTGTCCCCGTGGGGCCGAACCATGTTTGTTAAAGCCTACGTGCTTGAGGAGGCAGCTGCCCTAGCAGCTTCCTCTCTGGCCAGCACACGCTGGCTGATCGCTCGCATCCCGTCCGTCTGGATGAGGCCTGTCATCGCAGGCTGGTGCAGCGTGACCTCCTCGGGCGGTGGCAACGCGGCAGCGTAACACAGATTGGCAACTCCTCTCCGAGAGGTAAGTTGTCGAAACCTCAGCCTGAACATTGGCTTGAGGAAAAAGACCGTCGTAAATACGTCGTAGACTCGCGGCACCTCCAGCAAGCTTTCGTTGCTGGCACTCTCGGCCTAGAAGTCTGCATCTGCGGGTGGAATAGGCCCCGCAGACCGTGCAGAAAAGCAAACCTTTTGCTCCGTTCCTCGAACAACCGTACCATGTGCGAGGGTGTGGCCGAGAGACATGTCGAGTGTTCGCTTCAAGGTCCTACGCATGCCTTTACAGCCTATCATGGGTCTGGAGTCCTGGTCTCTAGCGAGGGTTAAACATCTGAGGCATCGCGCACGATCATCGCCTAAATCTTGCCACGCGTGCCAACCTCCAGATTTTAAAAACTTGGCCCTCGGGCCCGAACTCGTAACACGGTCGAACTTCTCTAGAGGAAAGGCTGATAAAACTTTGCCCATAACTCGGGCAATTGTCTTTAACTGGCTAAGCCTGCACTCAATCTCTTTTTCTTCAGCCGAGGAGGGTTGGGGATGGTCGAGGAGAGCTCTCTTGGCCTGGGCATCTGCGTACCAGCTTCCCAGCGCGATTCTCTTCTCTCCAGCGGGAAGTTCATCTATCTTGGCCAGCGCACGGTGTGCTGGAGTGCGATGAAACTGCGGCTGGTGTCCAGCTCGCTCGTGCAAAAGAGATCCACGTCTTAGGCCAGCGTAGCGGTGCTTCCTCGAGCACTGGTTCACCGCGGGCGACGTGCACATCTTGATTACCGTCATGCTATCCCCGTACCTGTCCCCCCGTAGTCCTGGAACATGGGGGCGAGGGCCATCGCCCGCTGTTCAGCAGCTTGGGAGGTCTGGGGGGGGGGGGATGTCAAGAACAGTACCTTGGGCAGTGGCAACTCTCCTATCAGTCTCGGGCCCCAAGAAGACCCACGAATAGGCGGCCCTCGAAAGCTCCCGAATCGGGTGTCGAAACGCCGAACCATCAACACAAACATCGAGCCCCCGAAGGTCGATCGAATCCCAAGGAACCTCCTTACCTTCGCCGTCGAAGAGGGTGGGGTTCGGGTTCGTCGAGGGGGGGGGGCCAGGTACTTCCGGGGTGATCCCATTTCATTTCGTCGAAAAACTTCCTCTCTTCGCCGTCCAAAGCCTCAGCATACCAGGCAGGAAGCTCGTCGCCTAGCGCTTCAGCTCGTGCCTTGACAGCATCGGGATGAAGGCATCTCCATGCTCGATGCCGAACACTATCGGGGAGACCGCAAAGCGGGCAGTCTCCTGCAGTGCTATACCCACATGCGCGAGCCCTTGCTCGCGTCCAAACTCCTTGGCAGAACACCGTGAGCGCCAGCTATTTTTCTCGCTGGCAGAGGCCTTTCCCCTTGGGGCCCAAAAACTTTTTCAAAGGCTCAACACAGACACGGGTCCCTTGGGACCCATCAGTGCTCTCGGCTAACGCTCTCTCGTGGAATCTCTGAGTAGCCAAGTCCAACAAAAACGAAAGCATGGAGGGGGAGGTGTAGGCCAAAGAAATCTCTCGGTTATAGTCATCTCGAAACGTCAAAGCCGAGGTGGAAGTCCATCCAATCCTGCGCAGTCTAAGATGCATCCTCTGAAGAAGCCCACGTGAGTTATTCCACGTGGTACTATCATCGAAAGGGACATCTCGCCAGAAACCGCACACTTCTTTCACTGTGCGAAAGGAAGACTCAGGACTAGTGATGGCCGCCCAAACAACAGCAGCCCACTGGGGCACGGGGGCAACAGCAGGTCTCCACATAGGGTCTCCAAGGATGGCCAGCTTCGCCCTCAGAGAGCACCCCTTGTGCCGAGGGGGTTTGTAACTAAGAAGCACCCGTTGACCTTCCCTAAGCTCTCCGTTGCTAACCCCCACAATCGCCGATCCAAACGTGGCCGCTGGCAAAACTCCAGCAGTGTAGATTTTTCCCATCCTACCTCGCTGGCGGGGGAGGGCTCTCGTGCAACGCTGGAGCACACGGTGGCGTCTACGCATATCTTGGCAGCGTTGCTTGCGCTTCCACGTGGCGCGCCTCGCACCTCTACGCCTGCCTGGGGCAAGATCCGATCCTAACGAAACGATTCCCGTGCTGACTTGACCCGCCATCTTTCCCAAACGTCGAGCAAGCTTATTGGCCAAACCTTGATTGCTCGCGAACGCGCAGATCTTGTCAGGGTGGACGTCCACCTTAAGCTCTTCACGAAAAATGATCAGCAGGGACGCAGCCGCCTTTGAAATCCGTGATAGCACCTGCTGCTCAGCGCCGTCACTCGTCACGCTGTTGTCGCCCACGTAAGACGAAAGCCAGACTTCAGGATGCTCAACGATAAAGCGGTCGAAGGCACCTATACTGTACATACGCACGAATATGCCATTAAAAATGTCACCAGCTGGTAATCCTGACGAGCCAAAAAGAGGAACAATACCATACTGGGCCCCGACGCGAACCAACCGCCAGTAGGTATACGTCGTTTTCGCAATCGTGCTATTTATGCCATACTCCAGGGCCCTTCGTCGGAGGAGGGAGAGGTCGAAGGATTCGTAGTAGTTGGTGGCATCCCAAATAAACCCCCCTGTGACCTTATCATTCTGTTGAGCAACCTCGGCCTTAACCGCGCGATGCCAAACAGCATCTTCAGCACTGCGACCTGGGCCGAATGCCCAGTATTTCCTAGGGTAGCTCAAATTAAAGTCGGTCACGAACGGTCGTCGCAACCTTTCCCAGACTCGCACGGGCTCAGCGCACAACAAAATGGGTCGAAGCCCTCCTTTGGGTTTTTCCAGGAGGGGAAACAAAAGCCAGAACAACTGTTTGGGGAACAATCCCAAACTTTCCGTAGCGTGCACTATCGCCGCAAACGTTGCAAGAGCTTCATCCGACATCAGACTGAACTGACGAGGGTGTATACCGTCGAGGCCCTGGGAGGTGAGGTGAGAGAAACCCGACGAGGCTTCTCGAAGCTCGATCGCCGAGGGTCGGGACAGATGCTCTCTGCCGGGCACGCAAACATCTGGTGGTTCGTGAGACGCGTGCCAGAAACCAGCAAGCTCATCGCCTTGCTGTCGCAGGAGAGCCTGCGGATCGTTGGAGAAGAAACCTGGGTGGGTCTGCACGACCGTCGGGGACCACTTCGCTTTTAATTTGGCCAAGCGATGCATAGCCCTCGCCCCCCCGTGCAACGCCTTCTCCTGCCACTCATCCCAACTATCCCTCTTTCGTTTGTCAATGGCCTGCTTGGCCGCCGCGAGATCGTCATCCCACGAAGAGAGAAACTCCTGGCACTCGTCGCTCCAGTCCGACAGCTCACCTGTCGAAGGAAACCTGCGCGCCAAGTCTCGTGCCTGCGCCAGAGTAGCGTCTAAACGAATACTGCGCCCTTCACCTGGGCAGGGCGCGGTGAGCAGCTGCTGGACCTGGAGCTGCACATCATTAATGAACTGATCGATTTGGGCGTGGTCCTGAAAATCGGGGTCATCATAAAGCTTCTGGAGCCTCACGGAGGCCCCAATCGTTTCGGAAAGCTGTTGCGCAAGCCAGGTCCATCCGTGGTGCTGCTGCCTCTCATCCACGCAACTTGGTTTGGCAAAAATCTGGGCCCATCTTGGTTTCAGGAAACCCCCTTTGAACCCCTTTTGTTTGACCTCAACCCCAGTGAAGGCCTCGAGCTCGAGCTCGAACGTGTTAGCGAAATGGCGCCACGCCTCCGTGAGCAGCTCCCACGCATATCCAACTGGCTGGGACAAGGCTGCATCAGCTGCTGCCTCGGCTACTGAACGAGGCACTCTTCAGTCCTGAGGCTGAGGTGACGGTCCTATGGGTAAACTAGTGGGCAACTTCTGGTGGGTTCGGTACATGAGCTGATAACACTTGACCGCATCTGCCTTCAGGGATATGCACACGGGTCGGTGAGGTCTGTGTGTCCACGACACGTCAGCCTCAATATTCTTGCAAGCTCTAGTGAAGCACGTGCTAGCAAGAAAATAATCAATCGTAGACATGCTAGTGGGGGAGAGGCAGGTCTTTTGATCTGGTACCATCAAGGCACCTCCAGTCCGACGAACCACCCCCGACGCCTCGACCAAGCTAGGGCCGAGGTTCCAATCGCAACCGACAACGAACATGTGTTCACGTTCAAGCCTTTCCCCCACCAGGCGGAGGAGCGGCAAGTTCACCTGGCAGAAGCCACTTCCACTCTTAAGATATCCGCAGACCACCTGAAGAGGCGGCCAAGAGGGTATGTCAACAACAACGTGAATCAATCTTCCTGGCCAGAGCGTGCCCGAGCCATCCTGGGGCCACCTAAGGCCCAAGTGTTTTCGAACGAACACAGCCACCCCCGCCCTCGTCTGGCCACCTTCGCCAGGGAGGGGTGGGGAGGAAAGCATTTTCCAACCGAGGGCCCCCACCGCCGCCCCCATTTCACCCTCTCGCTCCTGTACGAATCCGACCTCCTGCGCCAGCAGGATACTCGACTCTGCGTGACACAGTCGCTCACGTAGAGTAGGCCACGAGTTGCCGTTATACGTTGCAATGCAGAAGCCCCGACTCAAGAGCAGCTCGGAGGTCGAGTCGGGAGAAGGCGCGGAGGGAGGTGGGGGAGGTGCAGGCACTCCGAATTTAGACAGAGGCAGGCCACAGCAGCGGGGCATGAGATTACCCTGGCCGCTTCTGCTTGCCAATCTTGCGGAGCACAGGCCTAAACTTAGCACAGAAGGCCTCGCGGTCCAGGTTGCTGGAGGCGAGGATCTCGTCTGCCATCTCGACGTCGAGCTCGATGTCATCGGGCTCATTGTTGCCTGTAGCCTCAGCGCCAGTAGGAAACCCAGCGCCAGAACCCGTAGCGCCCATCTCGGAGGGAGACTTGGCAACCGATGAAGCTCTCTTCTTCTTGTGGTTGTTGCTCTCCGTGAGGACACGCGCAAAGTCCTTGAAGGCCTGCGAGCCCATGAAGGCCACGATGGAGTATTTACTGGGGCGATTGTCCAAAAACTCTGTGTCGAGCCCAAACGTCGCCGCCACATGATGTGGCATAGTATCTTGAAGCTCTTGATGCAGTACTCGGGTCTCCTCCTCAGAAGACGAGATCTGCGCCTTGGACGAGTCGATATTTTCTTGAGCTCTGCGTATAACATCAAGCTGGTCCTGCACCACTTGCTCAAGTTGGACTTTCTTCGCAGAAGCCCTCTGAAGTCTGTGTCCAACCGTGGTGTGCCGAGTGAGTTGTGGCTTCTTCTCTGCCAGCGCTTTTCTTGCATCGCCAAGACTGCGTTGAAGGGCTTCCACGGCATCTTTACCAGCTTCACCAGGCAGCTTTTTGCAGTTGGCCACAGAGATCTCCAACTGCTTGATCTGCTCACGAAGTTGATCGGCCTCTTTGCTCTCTGTGTCTTTATCGGGATCCTTATCTTTGTCAGGTGACGGAGCTGCATCAGGTGGTCCCCGTTGCCCAGTAGATGCCAGCAGCTTGTCAATCCTCTTTTGCACCGCATCAAGCTGCCGCTGCATGGGATCACCACTCTGCGGGCCCCGAGGACGGCGTGGGGGCCCTTGACCAAGGTAACCGTTCGGTGCAGCAGCAGCAGCACGTTCTTTAGCACGGCGGTGGATACCAGCAGGAGCAGACACGCCACACCTGCATATAGTCTGACACGCCCAATTCGCGTTCCGTCCGCAATTGTTACAAGACCAGGTCGGTTGACGAGGTCCATGGAGTACTTCTCCAGCGTCGCCACCGCCATTGGATGGTGCCATGCGCCTGGGCAGCTGGAAGTGGAGCGCCCTCGCGGGCTCGTAATCTGCCTCCGCAGAGGCGTTCGAGAAAACGGAAAGGGTGAACCCTTGGCCTGGGCAGGCCGACTGAAGGGCACCCAAGGAGCAAAGACACGCCGAAAGACTCTCAAGCCTGCCGCACGGCTGCGGACAAGCTCGAAGCCTCGCGGCAAGGTTTCGAACTTGAGCCAAAATGGCTACGGGTCTCGTCGGGAAGTGGGATCGGATCGGACCTCCGAAACCTGGGCACAGGAAACAGTGGGCCAGGAGGCATCGTCCCAGAAGGAAGCCCTGAGCAGCTTGACTTCGACCTTCGGCGGCGGGCGAGGGGGGGAAACGAAAAGGAGAAGGCCTTCTCAGAAGGCGGCGGGACTTCTCAGAGGCCCTCGCGCCTTCCGAGAAATTTTTGTCTGTTTTCGGGGAAGGCTCGGGAAGCTTCTCGGAAGGCCGCGGAACTTCCGAGACTTCTGAGAAGGCCCGCCCCTTCCCAATTTCCCCCCCTCGCTCGCCGCCGAGACCTGGATGACTTTTCGCTCTCAGATTAGAGGCAGCCAGTCAGATTAGAGCCAACACATGGGCGTGGACCGCCGAAACCTGGGCACAGGAAACAGTGGGCCAGGAGGCCTCGTCCCAGAAGGAAGCCCTGAGCAGTCTGACTTCGACCTGGATGACTGTTCGCTCTCAAGCTAGAGGCAACCACTCTCGGATCGGGAAATGGGATCGGATCGGACCGTGCGTCGGATCGGGCTGCACCGGGCACGGGAGCAGAATCGAACCACATCGGCCGCACCACAATTAGGGGGAAAACAAACCTACCTCGCTTTTGACCACCCTCGCTTCCAAGAGATACCAAACAATGCCAAATTGCAGCCTGTACTGGTCAGGCCGCTTGACGAGGAGGCGCGTGGTATGGCTTGGTTTTGCCTGGAAGCGAAAGCGGGGTAGGTAATTCCCGCTCTGAACAATGCACGACGACGCCGTGCAGACGCCGGGCCACATCAAATCGTGGAAAGATCGGAATCGAATCGGAAGGGGTCGGCAAGAATCGACATCGAATCAGATCGATGACTGGACGACGCCCGACTACGCTAGTGGAGAAGCCGGATTAGGCAAGCTGAAGGCTGATGTAACTGGATGAATGAGATGGCGCCCGTCAGGATTCGGCAGGCTGTCGCCCAAAGTTACCCCTCACCGTGCCGTCGGCACGTAGTGGAATGCCCCTGGCTCGTGCAGCTCTGCGAGGTCAAGAGCTCGTGTTCCCTCAAAACATTCTCCCAATCAAGTCCCGAATCCCCTGCTTCCCAAACGGTCCTGGGCGGTCCTGACCGCTGCCGGAGTGTCACCCGAGCTTTTGGGACGCCAAGAGAGCCTCAAGACGGGCCAAGATGACCCAAAAAGGCCCGAAAGACGGCCGAAGAGAGTCCCGAGTCGTCGGACGATCGGTCCAACACGCCCGAGGTGGCCGCCAGACGACCGAAGATGTCCCCCAAACGCCCCAAGAGGCCTCCAGGAAGCCGCTCAAGAAGCAAAACACATGAATTGTCCGAGGTCTTTGCTCACAGGTGTTGGCGTTCTCGCCTTTTGGTTTTCCCGACGCTCCAGGACGGCCCAAGAGGTTCAAAAGATGGCCCCAAAAAGGGCCCAAGAGGCCTCCGAGAGAGTCCCCAAGCGGCCCAAGACGGCCCCAAGAGACGGTCCAGGAGTCGCCCAAGACAGAGGCTCCCAAGACGGTTCCAAGAGGGGGCCCCGACGGGGGACCCGAATGGACGTTTCGAGCTCTCGGCCCCGGGAGGCACCCAGGAGGCTTCAAATATGCTGCCAATAACCGCCAAAAAGCCCAAACCAGAGAGGCCCCCAGGAAGCCGGCAGAGGTCCCCAAGAGGCTCCCAACAGGCCCCCAAGAAACCCAAAACTGCCCCCACGAGGCCCCCGATGGTGCTCCCAAAATACCCCAAGACGCATCCCAAAGGTGTCTGCCCCACAACCCAAGGACGGTGGCAGGGTGGGCCGAAAGCCATTCGATCCGCCGCCCACTGTTGGCTTGCCACAGGGATAGTTACCCAGCGTGCTGATCAGATTGCTCTTGGTTCCGGCTCTTTTTCCAAAAGAACTCTCCCCTGGGGCTTCGGGCCGTGCCCCACGGCCACCCAGAAAGGACAGCAACGCGCGGAACTTGCACCAAACAAATCCCCCAAGACGGCCACGATGGCCCAACTCGGCCTCCAAGATGCCTCCAAGACGGCCAGGATGCAAGACGGCCAAGATGGCCCCAAGATGCCTCCAAGACGCCCCAAGATGCACCCAAGATGGCCAAATATAGCCTCAAGACGGCCCAAGACTGCCATCGAGGCGCCCAAGAAGCCTCCAAGACGGCCCAAGCTCCAAGAGGGCCACCAGGAAGGCCTGAAGATGCCCAACTCATTGATTGTCTCATGGGTGTTTGAAGGATGTCTGCATGTGCTTCTTTTCGGCCTTCAGACGGACCGAGACGGCCCAAAAGCCTTCAAAGATCACTCCAAGACCGCCCAAGAGGCCTCCAAGAAGAGCCCAGAACGGCCCAAGAGGCCACCAAGACCGCTTCAAGAGGGCCCTAAGACGGCCCAAGAGGCCTCCAAGACGCCCAAGATGGCCTCCAAGACTGCCCTGGAGCACCCCAAGAGGGCCCCCAGTCGGCCCAGAGAGGCCCCCAAGACAGCTTCCGACGGCGTCAGACGGGCCAGGAGCCCACCAAGACGGCCCAAGATGGCCATAAGATGGCCCAAGACGCGGCCCACGAGGCCCCAAAGAGGCCTCCAAGACGGCCCAAGAGGCCTCCAAGACGGCCTCCAGGAAGGCCCGACGATGCCCAAATCATTGATTGTCCTTAGGTTGCTGCAGGATTTTGGCATTTGCTTCTTTTTCGCCTTACGACGGCCTTCCGACGGCCTAGGAGCCCCCAAAGAGCGCCCAAGAAACCCCCAGGACGGCCCCAGAACGGCCCAAGAGGCCCAAGAAATGGCCCAAGAAGGCCCCAAAAGGGCCCCCAGGCGGCCAAAGAGGCATCCGATACGCCCTAGATGGCCTCCAAGACGGCTTCCGACGGAATCGGACGGGTCAAGAATGCCCTGAGTAGCCAGAGAGGCCCCCGAGAAGCCCCCGACAGCCCCCAAGAGGCCGAAGGAGGCCCCCCAACATGTCTTCAAGAGTCTCCCAGGAAGCTCCCAGGAGGCCCCAAGAGTGCCCCCAGAGGCTCCCAAGATGCCCCCTCCTCCTCCTCCTCCTCCTCTCCTCTCCCTCCCTCCTCCTCCTCCTTCTCCTCCTCCTTCTCATTCTTCTGCTCCTCATCCTCCTCCTCCTGCTCCTCCTCCTCCTCCTGCTCTTCCCCGCCATCCTCCCCCAAATGTTCCCCTAAGGGTTTCCACAACGGTTGGGGGAACACATGGTCCGATAACTTGGCAGAGCTCTTGCCACCACGCTCGGACACTGGGCGAGTTCAAATATCTTGCTCCCCCAGGCTTCCCGAAGGCTTTCCAAAACGACTCGGGGAACAAATGGCCCGACAGCTTGGCCCAGCTCTGGCCCAGCTGTCGGCCACATGGGCGTTTCCACAAGAGCGGGGGGCGGCGGTGATTCGCCGTGGGCATCTTCCATACCAGCGCCGATGCTGAATGTAGCCGTCCTGGAAATGCAACCGAGGAGTCCCTGACCCAAGGTCGCTCAAGATTTTCGCGCCACCTTGGAGCATCCGGGGAACAACTTTTCAGCGCGTGGGGGCCAAGGTCGGGGTGCGACACGGAACATCGGCTTCGAGGGGGCGGAAGGAAAAAGGGAAGATACCGGCGATCAGTGGGCGATTGGAGCTCGATGCGCCCCCGCTCAGCCTATCCTTCCTCAGCGCTGCCTCTGAACACCTTTGGCCGCGCCAGACGTGTGACAACACCACCGCCTCCAGCTGCAGCCCGCGTCCAAATCTTGGACGCACCGATCACGGCCATTCTCGCCGCAGGTCATGGCTGGCACCATCGATCGACAGAACACGCAACATGGTGAACGGGAGCGCGTACATACTTGCAACAGACCTCAAGCGCACTGCAAGACTAATTGCGGATTTGTTTCGTCGTGTTCTGCCTCTGGGCCCCCTGGGCCCCAGGACCGTCGACGACGATTCCAGATGCAGAGCGAGCCCTGGGGAACATGTCTGGATTTGAAGGAACCCGTAATGAAACAGGTCAATACATCGGAACCCAGGATCCGAGCATGGGGCTTGCAACGCAATCCTGCATTAACCCCACCCCTCCTCTCCACACCCCTCCTCTCATAACCCTCCTCTGGAAATTTCTGGTGTCCCTGGCAATATTGAAAAGCCTCGAATAACCTCGGTCCTCCTCCCCCCGCTGTAGGGACAAGCAAAACCTGCACATACAGATGCAAACTATTGGACATCCGCGCAAACCACCGAAGTTTCTAATCCCACCAGCCCTCTGGGCGCAGGTGGTCTGACGATGTCTTTCTTTCCTCTTCGAAAATTCCTTCATGCCCTTCTGGGAGGGGTTTACCCCTACCCCCTCCCCTGGACCTGGACGGACGTTTCGCGAGCAGTCAGGGCGTCCAAGATAGCCTGAGATGGCTCCAAGAGGGCCTCAGAGAGCCCAAGATGGACTCCAAGATCGCTCAAGATAGGCCAACATGGCTCAATATAGCTAACCTCATGCCACCAAGAGGCCCCAAGAGGGCCACAAGACAATTCCAAGTGCTGTTGGTGACCTCTCAGGACATCTCCGAGAAGCCAAATCCGTCAAAACAATGGAACATCACTGATGTTTGCCTTCTCGCCTTCTCGCAACCGATGTGCTTTTGAGGCCTCAAGATGGCCCGAAACTGGCCCAAGAGACCTCCAAGAAAAGCCCAAGCGTCGCCAAAGATCGCCCCCAGAGGGCCCCAAGAGCGCCCCAAGAGGGACTTGCAAGTGATCGTTGGCGGGTTTGAGGAA